TCTTAAAATTTTTGAAAATAGCAAAGGCTTCGGATTTTTCAAATAAAAATTAGACCTATGTTTTTTTGTTGTAATCATCAGTAATAGTGAGCAAATATCATTTTTTGCTAGAAGAGAGTGGATAAATCAGCCCGCATATATCAGAGTGAACGAGTTGAAGAATTTGTAAGGCTCTCCAACTACTTTTGTTTGGAAAAGGATCCCGCTGCTACTTTTCGACGAGACAGTCTTTGCATAGCTTTGAAGGATGAGTAATCTTTAGCAAGCCATTCACCATCTTCTTTTGCTCCAAAGTTTGTAAACCCTATAAGCTTAGTTCCCATACCTACAATGCCACAACTGTGCCAAGTTCTATGTAATTGTGCTAAAGAAAGCAGTCTCAATCGGACAACTTGTAGCATCAAATGTGTACATCCAATTTAAAGACATTTTTATCTCCATGATCAAGCCCCACTTTTGATGATATACTCTGCATTGTTCACACTGAAATAAAATGACAACCCTTTTTTCTTATAGTTGCCCAACACTTAATAAATTGTTATGTTTAAGTGCGGCACATAATACACCCCTGTGATGATATGAATAATGTCATGCACTCGCAGTCTTACATTGCCTTTCCCAGTGATAGCCAAACTAGATCCATTGCCAAGCTTTGCATTATCCTTGTAAACTCCATCAAAATCCATAAAGTATTCAATATTTCCATATATGATTGTTGCACCCAGAGTCAAGGAACCAAGTGTCATTTTTTTATGGATGAATCATATTCCTCATTCAACATCAGTAACATATCATCTTGGGTTTATGCATAATTGGACTCCTTCCTCGGGCACTCCCATGGAAAATATCCCAACTTATGACAATTGAAAAATTCCACCGTAGATCTGTCAACAGATGGCTTGCCATGTCCTATTCCTCGTCCTTTAAAGCTCTACCCGTCTCTGCCTCGTCCACAAAATTGATCACCATACGATATTTTCAAGGCCTGTGCTTCTTTAACCAAAGCGTCAGCATTCATACGTTGCTCATGTACAAGTAGATTGCTTTGTAGTTCATCAAGAGTTAAAGTCCTCATATGTTTAGACTCTTTAAATGACCACACCACATAATTAAACTTACGAGTCGTTGTTCTCAATATCTTAAAGAATACTTTTTATTTTTCTTGTTCTCACCATTCGAGTTCATATTGTTAGAAATGGTGAGAGTTCGCCTAAAATACTCATTAACATATCCACTTTCTTTCATCTCCAGTAGCTCAAATTCCCTTCGAAGAGCCTAAAATTGCACATATTTAACTCGTGTTGTACTTTGGAATTTTTGCTTTATTGAATCCTAAATACTTTTGGATGTGTCCTTGTTGAAGATCGTTTCAAGGATTGAACAATCTAAAGCCTATAGATACTTCTTTGCCTTCAAATCATTAAGCTTTTGATCTTCCAAGGCTTTATCTTTACTGCTACAAAAATATCTTTCATCACTAATTCTCAGTACACTTTTGAATGTAGAAAGTTTTCCATTAGCATTGCCCAACGATCATAGTTTCCATAAAATTTAGGAATTGATGATTGGACAAATGAGCTTTCTGCTGATTTTTTTTTTCAAATATCTAGCTCTGATACCAAATGTGGGGTAAGAGAATAAAACACATACAAGAAAATTAGAAAAAAAACTCACCTATTGAATTGAATGAACTTGGCTATTAAAATATCCATACATCATAGAAAAAAAAACTAAAGATTAGGAAACACTGATAAGACTTATTCAAGCATAAAAGAATCCCATAAAACTAGGGATATTATTTAACAACACGAATAGTAATTACTGACTCTGTCATAACATGATTGGTTTGGATTTTGGAAATTTTGATGTGTATTGATTTAATAGGTAATAATTGTGTTAGGTGTAAAAGTGTAATATAGTAAATTTTTATAAATAAAAATAATCTTTATGGTGGTGGTCGATTGGCTCTCAAAGTATGTCGAGTTCATCCCGGCGCCAAATGAGTGTGCGGCGGAGGTGACAGCAAAAATCTTCATAGAACACGTCATTAAGTATTGGGGGCTACCGACAAGTATCGTGAGTGATCGGGACTCGAGATTCACTGAGCGATTTGGATGGAGTTGTTACGTTTGTTGGGGTCGGAGTTGAAAATGTCCACAACCATGCACCCGCAAACAGATGGCCAAACGGAGCGAGTCAATCAATTCTTGGAGGTGTACCTAAGGCATTACGTGACGGTAAACCAACTAGATTGGGCTAAACTACTCGATATGGCACAATTTTTTTTTTAAGTTGCAGAAAACAAGAGTATCTGGAAGAGCCCGTTCGAGATTGTACTTGGTTTATAATCTTCGACTCTGAAGGACTTGGTGGGGACATAAAAAGGACCGAGCCCACCGGTATTCTACTTTGCCAATGGTCGGCAAGATCGGGCGGAGGCGGCGCGGCTATATTTGGAGAAGTCCCAAAGGCGGATGAAAAAATGGGCAGACCGGAAGCGAGTGTTCCGAGAATTCAAGGAGGAGACTTAGTGTTGGTGAAACTCTACCAACACGAGCGTGTGCAAGGCGTGCACAAGGGGTTGATGAGGCGTTACGAAGGCCCGTTCCCAATCATGAAGAAAATAGGAGATGTGGCGTACAAGGTGGAGCTACCCAAGGGTTTATCCCAACTTCACCCGGTATTCCATGTTAGCATTCTCAAACCCTACTATATGGATGACCGAGACCCAGGTCGGAATGTATCGAAAAAAGCACCTGGAATGCGGACGGCATACGACAAATTGGCCGATGAGATATTGGCGGATCGACTAGTACGCCATAAGAACCGTCCACCTTCGACGGAATACTTGGTAAGATGGCGGGGATTGCCCGAGGCTGAGACGAGTTGAGAGCTGGCGGAGAAACTTTGGCAATTCAAGGACTTAGTGCCTGAGTTTGAGGTATTGAGGACAATGCTTTCATCAAGTGGGAAAGAATGTCCCAGACCGAGTCTGTGACCGACGGTGACCGAGAATAAGCCAAAACCCAGAGGCACACTTAGAAGAATCCGGAACCTTGTGGAACATTGTATATAAAATTAGAACTTGTTTTTTAATGAGGTAGTTGAGGGTTGGTTGTTGGTTGATGGTAGATGGTAGATGATTGTTGGGAGATAGTGGCTAATCATAGTCGTTGGATCGATTCGATCTTGGCCGTCCAGTTCACAATGGACTTGTATAAATATGTGCTTGTACTTCATTTATAAATCATCAAGTTGAGAGCAATAACAAGTTTTTTCCTCACTACTTCCTCTCTCTACGATTCTTAAGTGTTCTTAATCGTGTTCTTGAGTTTTTTGAAAGAGTTCGAGGAAATGCTGTATTAGAAACTTCTAAGTGTCCTGAATATGCTAGGCCACACGGAAGGTACTTTGGAACAATCAGACGATCCGTGACACTAGGAATTAGACTGCAGAGTTTGTCTATGTAGAAATTAGTTCGCACCCATCTCCCTCCCCGCAGTGGAGGAATATTAGATTTCCTCAAATCGTTGCATAAGAAACACATCCAAATTAATATCTTGAAATTTAAATTTAATAATAATAATAATATATTATTTATATATGATTAGATAATAAAAATTTATAAAAATAAATCATAATGAATTTTATAAAATAGTAAAGGTAATGAATTGAAGATAATAATATTACAACGAGTGTTAAAAAAATAATTTGAATATTGATTTAGATATCATATAGATGAGATAGATAAATATGTTTCGCCTCTTTTTTGTGGCATACAAATAATCACGTGGATCAAGAAAAATAATCCGTCCGTAAGGGATGGTCCGGTGATGTAGGGTGAACTCGTGACTATAGATTCAAACTCCCGAGTCATCCAGATTCATCTGCCATACATGGTTCACCTAGTGTGAGACATTTAGAGGGTTTATAAACCAGAACCTTAAACAAACTCACATGAAAATGAAAATTAATAAACCCCAATTTGAACTTGAGGATCCAATAATAATAATATAATAAAAAAAATCTCAAATTCCCACGGCAATCGAAACTCGATCGGATAGATGAACCAAAAATTTCCGAATATCAAATAGATCCACAAAGTCCTAAAACAACAAAGCATATACAATCAAATGCATTATATTAAAGTACAGATTGACCTCTATAGCCGTCTACTCCCCACGAAAAAGTTTGAGCCATTGTCTGAGCTGTTTCTGGAAAAATGGTTTTATGAATAATAATAATAATAATAATAATAATAATAATAATAATAATAATAATAATAATAATAATGGGGTTTTTTTCTTTTCCCATTGGCAAATTAGATTTTAAAAAGTTTGACCCATGTTGGACGTCTTGCTTTATATTTAGATTTAGAATATATGTATATATTTTTTAATTCTTCCAAACTTTAAATAATTATTATAAATTCACACACATATATATAATATAAAACCCTAGAAATTGAAAAGAGCAACGGCTTCAGATCTCCGGATTTTTGGGTTTGAGGGTTTTGATTTTTTCCTTAGAATTTGTTGAATATTTTTTGCCTTTTTTGTTATTGACAAAAAAATACGCATCTGATTTTTTGTTTTCCCGTGGATATGTTCTTTTTTTTTTTTTTTTAATCACTAACGAAAAAGATGGCTTTGATGGAGGCAGTCGATCAAAAAATAGGGTTTTGAATTGGGGGAAACATATTGATTGTTCTATTAGGAAACAATTTTTGGTGAAGTGTCTACACATTTTACTTTAAGCTCACTCTAATCCATTCGTGTTATGTGAGAAATTTATTGTTTGGTATCTATTCTACTCAACTTTGATGTGAAATTTGATAAGGAATAGTTTATTTGATTTTTATGTTTTTTTACGTTTCATGATGTGATCTTTAAGTTTGATTTCTGAAATGGTTGTACAGTTAGGTTAATTTGTGTTTTGATTGGTAGATTTAACTGTTTGCAGGATTATCTTTTGGAACTGAATAATTTGTGCACAAAACTATGGATCGTGCTGTTGATAGGATTTCCAATCTACCTGACGATGTCATAAATAAAATTGTTTCATGCATGCCTTTGGATGATGCTGTGAGGACGAGCACACTATCGTCCCGATGGAGATATAAATGGACAATCATTCCGGTCCTTGTTTTCCCCGAAGAATCCTGGGATGCGAAAAAGGTGGAAGCCATGTTCGATCAAACTTTTTCGCTTCATGATGGGGCCATAACCAAGTTTTCACTCCAACGTTGTTGTATTAAAAGCAATTCTTCTGTCAGTCGTTGGTTATCTTACTTGTCTGGCCATGGCATTAATAGTCTTGAGCTTTCGGTTCACTGCAAAACTCAAAATCTGGTGCCTGTTTCTCTGAAGGGTTTTGATCACCTTCAACATTTGTACCTAGGATTTGCTTGTCCATTCAAAATTCCTCATTTGTCAAAAGAATTTAACAAACTTGTTAAGCTGGAACTTTTCTACTCCCATATTAAAATTGGTGAGTTGGAAGTGTTGCTTTCCAAATGTTTAATGATTGAATATTTGGATTTGGAGGTAAGGTTTAATTTTAGATTTCTCAATGTGTCTACTTTTTCTTATTCAAATTAAATTTCTAATTGTTTTCCTCTTGTGTGGTTTAGTTTAAGATCCGCGGCCGATGTGAGATTAAAGAACTTTTTATCAAGCTCAATCATCTTACTTTTATAGAGCTTCGCAGTTGCAACTTTGTAGACTTTGGGAATGTTGAAGTTTTTCTAAGCTTGATCAAAAGCTCCCCCAATTTGCAAAGTCTAAAACTTCATGTTAGTGATACATATTTACCTTTCATTACATTTTCTTTTTCATTACATTGTCACTTATTTCATCCTTTTTTTTCTTAGGGTGATGGTGCATTCAGGGATGATAATAGTATCATGGAATATCTGAAGGCGCAACACTCCTCTAATGTTTGTCTCAGTCGCCTTGAATATGTGAAGCTTCGGTGTATGATGGGTTTTCCAGCGGAGTTGGAGTTTGTGAAAATCCTTTTACGGTGGGCAACTGCACTTAAAAAATTGGAAATATATACTCGTTGGGTGTGTGACGACATGCAAATTAGCCAAATGATAAGAGAGCTTGAAAATATCAAACGCGCCGGATCATCTAAAGTAGAAATTATATTTAACACATATTGATTGGTAGTTATCCACTCCAATTCGCACTGTTAGCAGTATGGTGTTTCTATCATATGCATATTCTTATTTTATAGATTATTTGCAACAATTTCACCTTTAAATGCTTGAGCTTTAATTTTACAGCCACGTATATATGTTTACTTGTTTGGTGTTCTATGTCAAGAAACATAATTGTTTAATGAATTGACTAGGTGTGTGCTGTGGTTGTTTCTTGTGCTTTCTTCTTGAATCATTTAAAAGCAAAACAACAATGAAATGAAATTAATATTAAGAAAATACTTGGTATACAAATATAGTATAACCCAAGAACTTCTCTTGTGCTCTTATGCATATTTATAAATTAAATCAAATTTAAGGAGATTAATTGAAGACATTACAATGGCGCCAACAACATCATTTACTACACATATTTAAAACTTTAGCTGTTATAAACAAGTTCTAGTTGCTATGATACCATTCCATATAGTTACGGTGTACAATAAATACATTCATGTCGCATTCGCCCCTTTATGGCATACAAACAATAATATATTGTGAATAACAACCAAATGAAGGGTTTTTTTAAAAATAAAAATAAAAATTGTCAAACTATGACACTAGAAATATTGCAAAAATCTAAGGAGAAAAAAAGAAAAAGAAAAAGAGGGTTTCAGAATCTTTCTACATAAATATTTTTGATACTTTGAGTCACAAACTTACTTGCAATCCTTCCCCAAATATTCCAATCAAGATTTCAAGTTTATAAACCTATATTTTCATACAAATTCATTTGAGAATTTTCTATCATTTAACAAATAAAGTGTGCTTACGAAACTACAAATTTTTAGTTTGATATTAATGCTACTGATCTAAAACACTTAAGTCTTATATAACTTGAACTCGAGAATATTTGAATTATTCTTGAGGAGTTGCAAAGTGTTATTTCAAGATGTCCAATGTTTGAGCGCTTGTTTATTAGCTCATGTTTTTCACCAACCATAGTCTGGTGCCTTTATGTTCTTGATCCGAATTTTAGAGACTTTTTTTTTTAACTCTTTTGTGGTTGTTGGTTGGAGCTGAGATTGAATTCTAGAGACTTGTATATTAAAAATACCGACATCAAGCTTCTTCCTACATTCAGTGATTTTAATAAGCTTGCTACTCTTTGCCTTCATCGATAGAATGATCCATTATGGAAATTAAGAATCATATGTACTTGAAACATTTTATACTCGGTTACAATTGATCAATATGTTTTACAAAAGCATGGCGACCTCCATGTCTTATGCATGGTGCTCATCCTCTTTGTAGAGGTCAATCAAAGCATATGTGCATTCTTTCTCAAAATGGCTTATGCTCCCTCATTGTTTCTCATTATTGCCTCTCTAAATCAATTGTTGGTAACTCCCGTTTGCCTGTCTTTCGAGAAAGAATACACAGATGCCTTGCATTATTGACATCTTTTTTCTGTGCTATACTTATGCAAGTTCCCCCTCCCCTTTTCCATTCCCATTTCTTTTCTTTCCAATTATTTCTATCTTCTGTCGATTCTTGTGTTTTTTGCGTGGAAGCTAAACCTAGAATTAAGAAAAATAAATAAAAATAAAAACATGGATATGTGCATTGTCTTTTTCTTGCCAGTTTGTGTGTGTGTTTTTCTGTATGCATTTTTGGCACATAGTGTGATTCTTTATGATAATAAAATTCTTGGTGATCTTTGAAGTATTTGGCATTTCATGAATTATGGCTTTAGAAATGTGATATTGGTATTTATATGCGGCGCATGGATTGGCTTAATTTTTGGACTAATTCAATGAAATTTCATTTGTTTAGTTTAAACAAAAGAAACAAGAGTATCCATTTATTTATTGTTTGCGTGTGATGAAGGGATTTGTAACTCAAGCAGTTGAGCTACAATTCATATTGAATTTCAATCCATATTAGCTATAATAATGTGAAAAATTAATATATATATATATATATGTAAAGAAATTAGGCAAACACACAATGTCCTTCATAATATACAGGATCCTCGATCTTGGATCAAAACCCGGTCACGAAGTATCCATACGTATATGCATATACAAACTTTATACTTTCTTCGTTTCAATCCAAAGTAATTTTTTTATCATTTTTGTCTGTCCCACTTTAAAGTATTCATTTCTTATTTTAGAAAAATTAATCATACACTAATACCAAAATACCCATAACATTTACTTAAATTATAAACATACCATTACACATACAATTATTTTATACATAAAGTCAAAGAGCAAGAATATCAAAACTCCTTGCATACTTCCACTAACTAATAAAATACTATTATTTTTTAATCTATTACAAAAATCCAAAAACCTCTTTGATTTGGAACGAAAAGAGTACATATGTATGTGGACACTCTGTGACCATATCAAAGCCCGAGACAGATCTGTATTCCTTATATTGAAGATACATAAAACAAATGATTGGTAATATCATTTGGATAATATCTTTTCAAAAAAAGAATTCAATTTAAATATTTATTTTATATCATGAAACATCGTATTTAATACAATCTTTTATATTTTTAAGCTTATATAAAAACATCAAAAAAAATTATTTACACAGACAATTTCCACTTTTAGGAACTATTTATATTTTTCTCTCTAAGTCGACCTAATCATCATTTGAAAAGCCACTTGAATTTATTGAAAAATAAAATTTTAAATTGAAGTAAATCTTTAATATCTTGTAAATAGATGTTGGATATTTTAAATGTAAACTTAATTATCAGTAGTCCGAGATAATTATGCTATTACTTCCATCCCGCAATAAGAGTACTATTTGCCTTTTATACATAAAAATTTTAATATTAGTATTATATTGGTTTGTAGTAAAAATAAAAAAATAAAAATGCCCCTATTAGTATGATTTAATATAAAATTGATAACATTTGTGTAATATATTGTAAGTTATAACGGTATTTATTATATTAGATACACAGTACAATTACTAAATTACGAAATGATACCCTTATTTTGGAACGGATAAAAATAAAAAATGTTATCCTTCTGTTGAAATATTATATGCCATTTCTCAGGTGTTATCTAATAAATAGTTTACTAGAACTACTAATAGACTTGGTCAGTGTTTGTTATTCAGTTTGTTGAGTCTTTTGGATTCTGTTCAACCATTTGAGATTTTTATGCACTCTGCCTATATGGTTTAATAATATATAGATAATATAGATTCTGGTAGTATTCTATTTTTCTCTTAATTGTTTATCTCCCTGATTTTCCAACAAAACTAGTATTAGAGCCAACCTTGAGTCTTCATTACCTCAATGGCTGCTCCAAATCTCCCTTCTGCTACTCAACCACAAATACCTGTGTTTAAAGGTAAGTCTTATGATTTTTTGATCATCAAAATGAAGGCCTTGTTTCGATCCCAGGATTTATAGGAATACGAATTTGTGGAAACTGGGTATGAGGAATCCAAGGAAGGTGAAAATCGAAATAGAGAACATCGGAAGCGTGATCATGGAGTTCTTCTTCATTCAACAGATAACAGGTGCTTCAATATTCAAACGGCTACAACTATTGAGGAATAAGAACATGATGAGAATTCTTCCTACCATTGACCTCTAGGCAAAGTATGTGAAGCGTGCATGGCTGGAAAACAAACAAGACAACCTTTTCCTAGCGGAAAATCACAGCGGTCCGAAAATGACTTATAACTCATCCATGCTGATGTTTGTGGTCCGATGCAAACTGAATCACTAGATGGATGAGCTGTGTATACTTCTTAAAGAAAAAATTTGAATGTTTTGAGTCATTCAAAGTATATGAATGGATGAGTATATGAAAAGACTTTGCACAGGTCGTGGTGAAAAATGGAAAGTATATGAAAAGACTTTGCACAGGTCGTGGTGAAAAATTCACATCAGCAGAATTTGATGTATACTGCAAGGAACATTGAATCAGAAGGGAACTCACAGCTCCATACACTCTTGAAAAGATGTGGCCGAACGGAAAAATCGCACCATTTGGAAATGACTCGATCAATGCTGAAACTTCAGGGAATGCCTGGCCGTTTTTGGGCTGAAGGAGTGGCTGATGATCCAGCTAGACTGAGCAAAAACACACGTGGAGAAATTCCTAGGCAACGCTTTGAGATTGAGGGGGAGGATGCCTCATCTCTTGTTCTATTTGCAGAAAATCCTGTTACAATAAAATAAACAATGGATAAGACATAGTAAAGAAGTACGATGCGAGAGGAGTTGTCAGCTATCAAATGGAACCAAACATAAAAAATGGTTAATCTCCCAAAATACAAGAAAATCATTAGCCTAAAATGGATCTTCAAGACAAAATATTTGCCCGATGGAAGTATCCAGAAATACAAGGCCAGACTGGTAGCTCGAGGCTTCACACAACAACATGGACTTGATTATGAGGAAACATTCTCTCCGGTAGCACATTTCGATACGGTGCGGATTCTCTTGGCACTTACAGCATAACAACAATGGAAAATTTATCAGTTCGATGTAAAGTTTGCATCCTAAATGTAGATTTACAAGAAGAAGTTCATGTTAGTCAACCACCTGGATTCGAAAATAAGGAAGGAAAAGTGTTACATCTACATAAAGCTCTCTACGGACTTAAGCAAGCGCCACGTGCTTGGTACAACAAGATTGATGATTTCCTGCAAAAAACTGGATTCGACGAAAGTCCTAATGAGCCGATGTTTTATGTAAAAGGATGAGGTACTGGTGATTTACTCATTCTAAGTCTCTATGTTGATGATATGATATACATAAGCTCATCTGTACATCTCATAACTGAGTTTCAAACACCAATGAAGAAAATGTTCGACATGACCGGCTTGGGAGAATTACAATACTTTTTGGGATTGGAAATCACTCAAATATATAGATGACACATTGAAGAAATTTAACATGTTGGGATGCAATACAGTTGCAACTCCAATGAACATTGGCAAAAGCAAATTGCTTGCGACAACACAAAGCTGGCCAGATACAACAATCTATCGAAGTTTGGTTGGGAGGTTAATCTATCTCACTTACTCACAACCAAACATTGTATATTCAACACTTTCTTATGAGACAGAACGAATATTTTTATTTATGTAGTAAACTTTTGCATAATCTATTTAAAGTAAATAATTTTTCTATCGATACTTTTATTATTCTTACTTTAACAAATAATAACATATTCATCATTATTTTTTATACTTACCTAATATTTAATTAAAATTTTAATAAATTCCAATTACAGTTCATTTTTGTCAATGCGCAAAATGACCGTCTCACAAAAAACATGTATTATTAATTTATTTATTCAAAAACAAAAATCCTAATAATTTTAATATTTATCTATCTCGTTTTATATTAAAATAATATTATTATTTTCTAGTTCGGACATAACAACAAGAAAAATTCCGAACAAATGAAATAGGGTAAACTATTTTTTTAGTCCCGTAAGTGGACCCCCTTATCATTTTAGTACCGTAAGTGGAGTCTGTCGCAAACTAGTCTCATAACTGAAATTTTTTTGTTGTTTTAGTCCTCCGACGCCGGAGACGCCCGCGTGAGCCACGTGTTCGCCAAGTGTCCCGTCAAATCAGCGACACATGAAGGACACGTGGATTTTATTATTTTTTTAATTTTTTTTCAATTGACCAAATAAAAAAAATATTAAATATATATATATATATATATATAATAAATAGCATAAAATCTATAAAATAGAAATCATAAAAGAACCAGCCTAAAAAAATTCTGTGTTTCGACCCTATATAATATATATAGTATATGATTTAACGTATATATAATAATATACGCAATGAACTAACTATCTTTCATTAAAGGGTGACTATAGCTTTGGCCTTCTTTAGCAGCCGAACAACCTCGAGCATCGTCGGCCTCCTCCACGCCTCATCGTTTGTGCACATCTTCGCTATCGAAAGCACCGCCAGCATTTGATCCTTCCACGCCGGAAAACTCGTACACGGCGCCTCCACCACTTCCGCCTCCCGCCCCGCCGCCGCCATCCACCTCACCCACCCCACAAGGTTCCCGCCCTCCACATCCGCTTGCCCCGTTGCGGCCCGTCCCGTCACGAGCTCCATCATCACGACCCCGAAGCTATACACGTCCCCCTTCGCCGTCGCCACCATCGCTTGCCCGTACTCCGGCGGTATGTACCCTAAAGTTCCGGCGAGCATCGTCGACACGTGGCTCTCGCACGCGCTTACGATCCGAGCTAGGCCGAAGTCCGATACCCGTGGCTCGAAGTTCTTGTCTAGCAATATGTTGCTCGACTTTATGTCGCGGTGGATGATGTGGGGGACGAATCCGTAGTGCAAGAACGCGAGCCCCCGGGCCGAGCCTAGGCAAATTTGGAACCGCGTAGGCCAATCGAGCATTGTCGACGCGTTTTTATCTCGTCTCCTTAGCCAAAAGTCGAGGCTACCGTTCTCCATGTATTCGTAGATCAAGAACCTCTCGTCGCCGTGAACGCAATACCCGAGCAACGGTACTAAGTTCCTATGCTTTACTTTTCCGATGGTCTCGAGTTCCGCGATGAACTCGCGCTCGCCGTGAGTATGACCTCCGTCGAGCCTCTTGACGGCGAGTTTCCTTCCGCCGGGGAGGAATGCTCGATATACGGTGCCAAAACCACCGTCACCGATAATGTAGCTCGGGTTGAAATTCTCCGTGGTGGATAAGATATCTTTTGGATTGATCTTTGTCAACGAGCGCTCAAACATCGCAACGTTGATGCTCGGGGGCTCTTTTACTTTCTTCTTCGAAATGCCATCACTCGGAAAATGATCCGTCTGAGTGAAAAGGTTATTTTTATCCTCGTCAACTGGTATCAGAGCCTGATTTTTAACTATCCATTTCAAAAACACGACGAGGCATGCTAGAAAGACCACGCCTCCCCCGATGGCAAAACCGAATACCGAAGCACGAGATAGAATCAAGCGAGAAGGATTGTTGCTCCGAGTAGCGATCGATTCGCATCGACGCTTTCCATCCTCACAAGATTGTATTAATTGTCCCGAGAAGTTGTTGCCCGAGAAATTCGAGTATACTAGCCCCGGTATCGAGCAAACGTTACAAGGGAACATGTATCCGAATGCATTTCCAGATAGGTCAAGATACGTCAAGGCGGGGAGTTTGGCTAAGGACACCGGTACACTCCCGGCGAAAATGTTGTTGTGGAGGTCCAAAGTGGATATAGATACAAGATTCGACACCAAATCATCTAGCGCGCCGAAGATCCGGTTGTTGCTCGCATTCAATACTAAGAGCGAACTACTTTTAAACCCGATGACAAAAGTACCGGACAATGCATTCGAGCTCACGTCGAAATATGTCAAGCTTTTAACCCTAAACAACGATCGTGGCACCGTACCGGTTAATCCATTGAACGAAAGATCAATCTTCGCTAAACTTGATGAAAAGTTGCCCAGAATCGAGCCCGTTAGTCGATTGTGTGCAAGTACGAGGCCTTGAAGATTTGCCATCGAGAATAATGATGGAACAATGGAGCCCGATAGCGCATTATACGACAAGTCGAGTAGCGTTAGATTAGATAGTAGAGATATCTCCTCAGGAATATTCCCGTCGAGCTTGTTCCCCTTCAACAAGATCTCTTGCACAACTTTGCAATAGCCAATTGTGCGAGGAATCGAGCCTTCGAACTCATTGTTTGAAAGATCGAGCATGCCGTAGTGTTGCACAAATTCGGAGTCCGGCAAAGGCGCCTTCTGAAAACCGGAGCATATCTCCGGCGGAATTGGTCCGGTGATAAGGTTGTCCGAAAGAACCAAGTTGTCGAGCAAACTCAACTTGGATATCGATCCCGGAATTCGACCCGTCAACCTGTTCTCGCCCAAGTTCAGCGACACGAGGCTCGTGCAGTCGAAGAGCTCGAGAGGGATATCGCCGGTAAGTTTATTACCTCGCAGCGACAAATTTGCTAAATTCTTAAGTTTCCCGATGGCCGCGGGGATTCTTCCTTCGAACATATTGTTATCCATTTGCAATCTAGTGAGAGTCGAAAGATTTCCAATCGCATCGGACAATAATCCTTCAAACATATTGCCGTTCAACGAGATCCCCATCAGCGTTTTCGATTCCCATAAGCGATCGGGGACTCGCCCGGACAGGTTATTACCGGACAATTCCAAGTTCACGAGACGAAGATCGCTGAGATAGCTCGGTAACTCACCGAACACGTTGTTTTCAGACAAGATCAGACTCGTAAGGTTGCGACAATCCTCGAACACGCTGGTCAAGCTGCCTGAAAAGTTGTTTTGCGACATCAAAAGAACAGACAACGATGCGGCATTGCATATGCTCGGAGACAGATCCCCGGAAATCCAATTGTCGCCGATGTCCAAAACAGACAACGCCGGCAGATCGAGCAACGGTAATGTTCCGTTGAAACGATTCTTCGACAACACAATGCTTTGAACTCGCTTCCATTTCGAAATCCAGACAGGAATCGACCCCGACAAATGATTATCGCTCAGTATAACTGCGTTAATCAGATGTAATCCCGATAGACTGTCCGGCAACGGACCTGTCAGCGCATTGTAAGAAAGGTCGAGAATCCGGAGATTTGTACAGTTCCCGAGCTCCGGCGGGATTCCTCCATTGACACCGGAGCTCGAAGCTACAAAATAAGCTAAACTCGACATTCTTCCGATACTCGAAGGCAATTCGCCGGAAAAATCGTTCCGCGCGAGATTTAAATTCCACAAGTTCGACAACATTGCAATCTCTTCGGGGATTTTTCCAGTAAACAGGCAGTTTTGAAGATTAAGTATCTCGAGATTTCTCAAACTCCCGATGCTGAACGGTGCGGCGCCGGTGAATGAATTCGAAGAAAGATCTAGAACATTGATGGCAGTTAGTCCTCCGATTTCGGAACAGAGCTCGCCGCTGAATATGTTGTAGCTAGCAGAGAAGTAAATAAGAGTCGATAGATTTCCGATCGCTGGCGGCAAACTGCCGGAGAAGAAGTTGTCATGGAGGTCGATAGACTTAACTTGCCGCAGCTTTCCGAGCTCCTCCGGCAGACTTCCGTAGAACGAATTTGAACAGATCGAAAGCTCTATGATCTCCGTCAGATTTCCGATCGTTGGCGGCAGAAATCCCGACAGATTGTTGCTGTCGAGGATGAGACGTTTGAGATTTCTTAATTTTCCGATCGCCGGAATTAGGTTTCCGGTCAGTAGGTTATGGCTCAGGTCGATAACTTCCAAGTCCTCCAATTCGTAAACCGCCGGAGCAATCTCTCCGGCGAAGGCGCAGCGGCTGAGATTGAGAATTCTGAGCTTTTTAAATTCTCCGATCAGCTTCGGGAACGGGAGGCTCCGCCGCGACTCCGAGCACGATAAATTTATCTCCGTCACGTCGGAGCCGTTGCATTTGATTCCTTTCCAATTACATGGATGAATGTGGCAATCAGATCGATAGGATACAGAAATTTTGCCTGGTAGGAACAAATCTCTGAAAGCTTGGAGTAATCTGGTGTTATCGCCGCCGGCGACCGCCGGAATAATGAGGGCGACGGTGGCGCCGGCGAGGAGAAGAAGGTGCGAAGTTGAAAGCAGTAATGGAATCGCCATTTTTGAAATCTGAAGGAATTTGGGAGTGTACGGTCGAAGAAGACGCGCATAGTAAGCACAGTCGTCCGTACTTTAATGGAGGATGGTGTGAAAAGCATGACTGGCTGTGAGACAGATAAGTAGGATTAATAAATGTATTAATTTAATTAAGGAAAAAGTTGATATAATAATTTAGTTACCTTAACCATTATTTATTTTTTCAAAAAAATAAAAAATAAATAAATAATTAATTAGTTTTAATTTTTTATTTTTTTTAAAAAATGATTTTTGATAGTATAATATGTACTATATTTTTTAAAAAAAAATTTAAAAATATTCGAAATGGTGTAAATTTGAAGGATGATAATAAATAGTAACATTATTCGTCATTATATTTAAATAGTAAGTGAATTAGTATTTTTAATTGTTTCTATTTAAAGACATTGTTTTATTTGGTAATAGTTGAGAATTATTTCTCTTTTATTTTATTATTATTATTATTATTATTATTATTTATTATTTTCAGATTTGATAGCATGATGAAATTTTGAATTTGACATTGTTGAATTTAATCATACTGGTCTCGACCCTGTGCATATATGCACAGATTTAAAATTTTAATTTTTTACATTTTATAAATATTTTGTACTATTACATATACTAATACTAGACGATAGCCGTGCTATCCACGGAGTAATTATAAATTTTATTAAATTATTAAAATTAATTATTGTTATTAAATATAGAATGTTTTAATATGATAATTATTTTAATAAAATAAAACATTTAACACGATCAATTATAAATATTCAAAATATTGAAGATTTATAGATTTTATAGATTAAACATATATATAGCAAAAATGATATTCATATATAATATTAACAGTGTCTATTTATATTTTTATAAGCAATTTTTAAATTATAATCTAATTGAAAATTGTGTTGGTAAAAAATTTAAAATGTCTGAACAAAATCAAATTTTACAAAAATTATAAAAACGAAAGATTTATCAATTATTTATTTATTTATTTATTTTATTAAAAAAATCATTTAAGATATTTTACCTCTTTTATTGTATAAAATTTGCATAATTAAAATTTATATTTACAATTAAATATTAATTAATTTTTAAAAAATGAGTATTATGTACAAATTTTACATTAACATAAAAAATTTTTACACAATATAAAACACATGGTGGCATTTTTACTAAAAATATGAGTTGATATTATATAATTTACCCTACAAAATATCTAAGTTTCTTTACTAAATATAAACTCTATTACATATCAAAATATTTATTTTTATTTACATTGATACATCAAAATAAAATATGATGACAATTCCAATAAAATTGAAAATTATGGTGACAAAATAATATATACATACAAAAGTATATAAAATTACTATTTTCTTCGGCCCACATGTAATGTCATACATTGCATTTACGTCTTTTTCATATCTCATGTCATTATTATTGTTTTAAAAATTATTATACACATTAATCACATTTTAAATTTTTTAATTTATAATTTTTTAATTTTAATTAAACTAATTTGTTATCTTAATATTAACATATAATTATTTGCATTATATTATAATTACTTTTTCTAATACATCTTTAATTATTTTTTAATTATACTTCTTCTAAATTTTCATATGAATAGTAACTATGACATTATATTTGGGACGAGGAGTATTAAAATATTATAGAATTTTTTTTAAAAAAATATCAAAATATATATTTATTTTTATATAATATATTACATTTTTTTCATTTAAAAATATCGGTTTAATTTTATTTATATCAAATTCAATAATTATTTTAAATTAAATTTTGACATACAAAAGAATATCAAACAAATAATAATATAACACAATAGTCTATCTGTCTAAAAAAATTATGTCAACTTATAGTAAACAATTTTATCATACTATAAATTTTAATTATATTATAATTACTATTGATTTTGTCGATTTTAACTATATCAACTATTTTAAATTCAAAATAATTTTTTTTTTAAAAAATATAACAAAAAAATAAAATTTTAAACTGAAATAGAAATGTACATGGCTGTATATAATTGTACATGGCCGTGTAACAACATAGTCATATATAATTATACACTGAAATATATATGGTCATGTAATAACATGGTCGTGTACTTTTCAAGTCAATTGCCACGTCACCTCCGTCATGTCCACGTCAGCAATTTCCGTTAATTTTTTAATGGTTAGACCAAAATTGATTGAAATTGTTTATAATAGGACCAAAATTGAATAAAATTGTTTATATTGGGAGTAAAATTGCTGAATTTTTTATATTATGACCAAAATTGATAAATTTTGGTTATATTGAGACAAAAATTGATTTTTTCCCTATTTTTTATATGAATAGTAATATTGATATTTTAAACCTTATATCTCGTAAGGCGGCGGCTACTGTGCTAAATGTAATACTCCCTCCGTCCCATTCAAAAATTACCATTTTTCATTTTCGTCTGTCTCAAAACAAGGTTATCATTTCTTAATTTAGTAATTGTACTCCCTGCTTAACATAATAAATACTTTTTCAAATTACAATATATTACACAAATACTATTACTTTTATATTACACCATGCTAATAGGGGTATTTTTGTCTTTTTTACTACAATCCAATATAATACTAATACTAAAAAATCTACGTGTAAAAAGCAAATGCCACTCTTCCAACGGGACGGAGGGAGTATAAATTTAGCACTGTACTGAATAGCACATTGTGTGCTACAGGATAACACACGATGTTACCATAAACAACAAACCGTATATTTTAATATAATATAAATAGAAGACATGACATAACAACACACGATATAGTTTCACACAGTACCTACAATACTTGATTTTAGCACATGACATACTCTCATACAACACATACAAACAACACATGAATTTGAAAAATCAGCATTGTGCTGATTTTCAAAATTCAGCACCGTAACCTTCCCCATCTCATAAAATATATACAGTGTAGACATCATTTTATATTGGAATAAAATTTTATATAATAGAATTGAATAAAAAAATATTTTTTATTTATTTATAATTAAATAAAATGTTTTCTTTTTTAAAATATATATAGGAAGTTTTAAATATAATTAATAATTTTGTTTATTAAAAAGAAAAAAAATTAAAGATTTTGAGTGTGTCATACATATCAAAAGTTATAAATTTAATTAAGTTGATTAAGGCGATACATAAAAATAAAGATGTTTTTGTGCAGGTCCTAAATGTTAGAAATGTAATTAAGTTATTTTATATTCTCTCAATTCGTTAACAATAATATTACAAATACCTTTTCAATTTACAATATATTACACAAATTTCATCATATTTATATTATACAATACTAATAAAATTAGTTTAATTATTTTATCTTTATTTCTAATACATTCTAATATAATACTAATATTTATAAATTTCAGTTAAAAAAAAATGAATAGATAAATATGAGATGAAAATAGTATTTATTAAGTATATTTAATATTAATAACTTTAATAAAAATATGAATATATCAAATAAGGTGGAACAAGACAAAAAAATATAAATATAAATATATATATATACTATCAATTAAGATGAGATGAAAAAAATGTTTTTTACCATTAAGTAAAGAGTAAAATGACAAAAAGAAAAACATATATATATATTATTTTTAATAAAAAAAATATATTTTTTTAATTTCAACAAAAAAATAAATTCGTTAACAGGAAAAAATTTAATTATTTCATTTATAAGAAAAAAAAGTAATTAAAAATATAATAATTTTTTACTTAACTAATATATTTTTAAGTCATATTCTGCCGTGCTATAATCTGCTCATTTAGCAGCGGGGCAGCGCCTATATTTTAGAAGGAATGAATTATTTCTATCTTCAAAATTGCTCGACATTGTCAAAGTTTTTTGTTAAATTAATTAAAAGAATAATAAAAAAAAAAAGAAAATCAAATATGAAGAGTATTAGCACAAACATGGCGTCTGGAGTCCGCGGCAATCTCAAGACTCCACTTTTCCCTTCCAACCACTTTCCCAAACTCTTCAACGCGCTTTACCCGACCCCTACACCTACAGAAACCTGCCGCTTTGTCTTCAGCGATCGCCTGTTTAATTCCAATCGCCGTTTCTATATGCGTAAACGTTGAATTTCTCAGGTATATTGGTGTGATAATTCATCAAAAATTTGCGAGACTTTCCTCGATTGGAGGGTGAGTATGGTTTTTGGAGATGCGTAGTATGTGATGATCGATTTATGTTGATTTTTCTGTGGTGCTGATTGATGTATGTTTCTGAATCAGGATTTTTTTTTTTTTTTTTTTCCTTAATTCAGGAAATCCACAAATTGTGTTGTTGTGTTGGCGATTAGAAAGTTGATCTGATATAGCCGAAGATGTTTTCTCGTCTTCTAGGAAAACCTAAACAGCAGCAGACTAGTGCTGTCGCCACACTCGAAAAATTAAACGAGGTATGCTATATGTGCTTTTTGGTTCTTCGTGTTTTTGGCTATTCATCTTTAGCTGTATATGTTGCGATTGCGAATTTTGAATTGGGAATTAGGAAATTGGAGACAGGAATTTGAGTTTTTCCGATTGTCGACGATTAGGTCCGGTAAGATTAGGTTTGATGTTGTATGAGAAATTTGCAACTATTACTTGATTATCTCATTCTGGATTTAGCTCAATACAGTCATGATTTTGTCCTTTCAGTGAGGTATGAAAATGGATTGTATTACAGAAATCGGAGATAAACTTCTCTCTTTATCCATACTTTCGTGAAATTGTTTGCCTGAATGATGATATTGTTCAAACTATTGTGATGAAATATATTCAACCAGATCAGTTCTGAAATTTCTTTGTATGTTATAGATAATCTTTATGAAACCTTTTCCTCTTCCCTATTGTTTTTAATGGATAGAACAAATGGAAGCAGTCGGACCAAATTGATCTGTGTCCGAAAATGTTACTGCTGTATGATTCAGCCTTCATTATTTTTCTTTATCCACTTAAGTACTTCAAATTCGAAGTCATAATTAAGCGTTGTCACTTAGAGCGACGGATTGCAAATGGTCTTGCTTTTTTGTGCTTATATTGAGATTTCGATTCTTACGCCTGTTCTAGACTCTTGAAATGCTCGAAAAGAAGGAAAATGTGCTCCAGAAGAAGGCATCAGCAGAGGTGGAGAAGGCGAAAACGTATACAAAAGCAAAGAACAAGAGAGGTATTATTATATAGGACTCTTCGATACGTTTTTCATACTCAATGATTAAAACTTACAGAGATCTGTTTTCAATATTCTGTAATTGTGACTTTGTGTTTATTCATCACCTAATTTTTATAAATCGTTTTAAGCACATTGTGCAAAAATTTTTTTGCTTGTTCTTACTTATAGCTCTGGTTTTGCTGGTGGTGTGTGTTTATTCGCAAAATGTTTCAGGCAATGCTTTTTAACCGTAGCTAGCCGTTATGTGTAATAGTCTGTTCTATCAATATATTTCGATTTGCTCGGTAGGATTATATTACTTTTGGAGTGAAGTTGTGGTTCTGATTTGCGCTACAAAACTACAAATATGCAGCTGCTATACAATGCTTAAAGAGGAAAAAACTCTACGAGGAACAGATGGGTCAGCTTGCAAATTTCCAACTTCGCATCCACGACCAGGTCCGAGCATTTTTTTTATAGCAAATTTTTGTATTTTGAACAAGAAATTGCCATAGTATGCTACTGCCAGGTTATGAAAGCCTAAAATATCTAAGAAGAAGAGTAGGTTTTCTTTTCTGGTTTGTTTCTCATATACATATATCAAAATTTTAGCGACGAAAGGGCCATGGATGAGAAAGATAAATTCTTACACAATCTTTTCTTCTTTCATTGTAGAATCGAATACTTTTTCTAAAACTACGAATTCCTTACCTATCCTTATCTGCTTCCGTTCTTTTCAATGTAGATGATACTGTTAGAAGGTGCAAAAGCTACAACTGAAACTGTGGATGCCCTAAGGGACGGAGCAGCCGCAATGAAAGCAATGCAGAAAGCCACGTAAGTAAACGATTATCTTAATTAGGCTCTTAATTTCTGGTCTCAATGAATAATCTGAAAACGGCATCTTCTATTTAGGAATATCGACGATGTCGACAAGACAATGGGTGAAATCAACGAACAAACCGAGAACATGAAGCAAATACAGGAGGCCCTCGCCACACCTATCGGCGCATCTGCTGACTTCGACGAGGTTTTTTTTTTTTTTTTTATCCACCTCGTATCCATCCATTTTTTTCGATTACGTTTATAAAATAAATGCACGATTTTGATTTTTCAACGATGCAGGATGAGTTGGAGGCTGAGCTTGAAGAATTGGAAGGCGCCGAATTGGAGGAGGAGCTGCTGCAGCCGGCGACAACAGCCCCTGCGACGGCACCGGTTCCGGCCGGCAGAGTTCCGGCGAGGCCGGCGCCACAGAAACGTACAGAGGAGGACGAAGAACTGGCTGCTTTGCAAGCAGAAATGGCTCTGTAGAAGACATCGACGTCCTTATGGCTGCATTTTTATAATTACATTCGGAGCTATTGATGAACACACGCTGACTGACTCTGGGTAGCTGTATCAGTATGTATATGTATATATTTTTGTATGTAATGAATATGTATCTGGCTTAATATATGTATTTGTTGGTCCTTGGTCGTGTGTTTTAGATAATTAATACATGGAACGATATTACAAAATTTAATAAGGGTGTGTTTGTTTGGAGGATTGGATTTTAAATACACTAATTATTTTATTTTTTTTCTAAAAAAAAATATCAAATCAAATACTTATTTTTTATTTTTTATATAATATTAAAAAGTTAATTTTACATTTATTTATGTCAGATCACGTAACTATTCAAATTCAAAATTTTTAATATTCAAAATTCAACTCACAATTCAAACTCACATCCTAAATGGATAATCAGTTGCTACAAGTGTAGTGTAATATTTGTAAATGGTAAAAATAAAAATATTTATTCCGTTTGGCGTGTCTATTTTTAATTTTAATTTATTGATTATTTTTATTATAAAAAATTATTTTTACTAAACAGTTTTAATTATTTATTAATTATATCAATATTAAATTCTTGTGTTAAGGTAAAAAAACACCGTATCCTATACAGAAAGAATAATTACTTTTAATAGTAAACGTTTGTTCACTTATTATTATTTTCTTTTCTATACCAATTTTATAGATATTATAAAAAATTACTATAATATATTCAATTAACAGAATATATATATTTGATTCATTCACAAGATATAATTTTTTATATTAATAATATAATCCTATAAAAAATACATTTAAAAAAAAAAATTACAAACCCTAGATAAATAGTATTCCCTCCGTCTCATTTGTTATGTCTATTCTTTCATTTTCGTCCGTCCCACTTATTTTGTTACTTTTTTTTTTGGAAAAGAATTATACGAATTATAAAATTTAATCTTATTTTAAAAAAATTAATTTATAATTTCTTTTTTAATTTTAATTATAAGAATAAATTATTTTAATTTTAATCTATAATTATTTTTATTAATATATTTTTAATTATTTATTAATTATATATCTTCTAAATTATTATGTATACAGTGAAATGGACAAAATATTCGGAAAAAAAAAATTAAAAATAATTAAATAAAAATATTTCAAACACCCACCAAATGAAATTTTTTAAAAGTATATATATATATATATATATTATATATCTCCCGCCTTTTCCTATTCACTTGACTTCCCCTGCAATTTTCCTCCCAGTTCTTTCCTCTTCGTTCTGTCCGGCTTCGTTTCTTCGTTCGCAGATTTGATCTGTCCGACCTATCCGAGCGTTCAGGCACTTTCGGCGGCGATCTGGTCAACATGGTGAGAATTTTTGCAAGCAGATTATGTCAGTGTTGGATTTGAGCTAGCTACCAAAAGCAGTTATTCTATATTCGTGGTAGTAAATTAACATATTTACACTTTTGTTTTTCTTTTTACAATAAAGATCTGTACAGCTCTCTATCATTAAACTTCCCAGGCTTTCACAATACGATTACGGAAACGGAATGAACTAGGTTGGAATATGAGAAGTTAATTTTTAGTGTAGAAGGTGCTATAAGCCTTGACAAAAGTTGTAAACCTGTTATTTCTGATTTCTTTGTTAAGTCGTTTCGACCTTTCGAATTCTGGCTGTTTTGGTTATGTCGATTTGCAGCATAGTTGACATTTAGTTTTGTGTCGCTATAAATTATAGCTTGAAAGTTCTAACTACGATTTCGATTCTGATTAGTCTAAAAAAAGGGGGCTGTCTTTGGATGAAAAGCGCGAGAAGATGCTCCAGATTTTCTATGAATCCCAGGACTTTTTCCTTGTAAGTTTCTTGATTTGTTTGTAATTCAATTTCAAATGTCTTCTTCCTGTGATTGTTGTCGTAATTCAATGGTGTTAGTCTATATAAAATTCTCTGATATATCTCCTCCGATGTTGTTCCTACCTTCTACTTTTTCTTGTTTTTTTGTCATTGCTGAAGCCTCACCATTCAGATTTGAATGTCTTTTGGCAATAAGATGGTGTTTGTTTTTTCATATTTGATGATTCTATAAAATGTATATTCCAATGTTTATTGATCATTGACTAATAGTAGTAATAAATTTCATGGAAGGACTAAATCAGACTTCCTCCTGATGATAATTATGCAGTGCGTTCAGTATTCATTTCAGAGTATGTCTGTGAACTAAGTGCTTTAATTACATTTAAGTGTTCCATTAGTGTGTTATCCATCTCATACACACATGATGTATTCCCAAGGTCCTGCAATTGTACTCGAATAAGTTATTGGAAAGTGGCTTGCTTTTGGCAGTGCATTGTGCAAACAGCTAAATGTTCATGGACAAAACTTTGTTGATTGATGGAAGGCATTAGTATTGCTTTTCTCCTTTCTCATTTTTCTGCCTCTAATTATCTTGAATATCACTTTTATCCTCTAGCATTTTATGGCTTGGTTTGTTCTGTATCACATTATGGGTTTAGTGATTTTGGTGAGTGCAGTGAGATTTCTCTCCAACATCTCTTTGCGCACACACACACACACTCGTATTTCTTGTTCATTGTTGTTATGCCTATTCATTGTAAGTTAAAAATTATACTGGAATAAGGATCAAATGTGATCAATTCACTTGCTTCATTTTTGAGATGATGATCACCTAATTTATAAACAGATATCAAAAGGACTTTCTGTGATCCAATTACAATTTTTTCCCATTCGAAGTCAGTATCCTTTGATTACAAGCTGAACATGTATTCAGATGGTTCTAGTATTTGTTTACTGCCATTTTTTCGAATCAGACCAGTAATTTATTCGTAATTTTGCTTTAGCTCAAGGAACTAGAGAAGTTGGGCCCGAAAAAGGGTGTCATAACCCAATCAGTGAAAGATGTTGTCCAAAGTCTAGTGGACGACGATCTTGTATTCAAAGATAAGATAGGAACTTCGGTGAGTAAGCTTGCCAATGGTCATCGAGCATATTAGAATTCTACCAAATGTTTTCGTCATTTACTTATCTTGATGCATGCTCCTATAATGTAATTGTTCTTTTTAAAAAACCATTGTAGGTGTACTTTTGGAGCCTGCCTAGCTGTGCTGGAAACCAGGTGATTGGATTATTTGTTTAACATCTCAAAATTGAACGATTCTCTAATGATATTAATCGTGCCGATACATGAGTCTGTGTTCTACAGCTGAGAAATATACACAGAAAGCTCGACTCTGACCTCCAAACTAGTAAAAAACGATATAGAGAACTTGTTGATCAATGCAATGCCTTGAAGAAGGGGCGCGAGGAATCCGTAAGCCTATGATACCTTCAAGTTTCTACATTTATCCTCTGTGAAAACCATCATCACCTACCTACTGAAATTCTTATTATTTTTCAGGAGGAACGAGCCGAGGCGATTGATAAGTTAAAGGCAATTGAACAAAAACATAATGAGCTCAAGGTTTGAGCCACCGTATACACTCATGAAACAACTCCGATCATATTGGCCATGGATGCTTAACTCTCTATCTTTATTTTCTTTCAGGATGAAATTGCAGAGTACGCAGACAACGATCCAGCGACCTTTGAAGCAATGAGTTAAGCATTCAACGTATTTATAATGCGATTCATCTAAATCGAAGCATTCTTAAATTCGATATTTGTTTTCAGAGACAGCCATTGAAGTAGCTCATGCAGCAGCTAACAGATGGACAGGTCTCCTTCAATCCCAATCTCTTTTCTCTGTTTTTCTATCAGTTTAAATTTTTAAATGAGATAGTCGTTTAAATGTTATTGTTTCTTGCTTCTAAAGATAACATTTTCACATTGCAACAATGGTGCTCAAACAACTACCCTCAGGCGAAGGAGCAACTCGATCACCTCTACAACGAGGCATGCGCGCGCATATTGTCTAAAATATCGACATTTTATCATATCATAGCATGACATGAGCTTTCTTTCTGTCTTGTCGACATTAACAGGTTGGAATAACTGATGATATCGATTATTTACCTGCAATAGCTCTGGCTTTTGGTTGTGCCGGACGAGATCATACATCGGGATGAATCGTTCGAGTTTCTTCAATGAGCAACAATATAGGTAAGTTTTTCTCAATCTATGAATGCATGTTCCTAAATAAATCATTGATTGGCTTCAATTCTTCTCCACACAATTTCTTACATTTGCTTGCTGCCTTGCAAATTTGTTGATAATAGGTTTTGCTGATTTAATTCCAATAAAATCATGATGATTAAAACTAGTTCAATCATGGGTTTTTGCTGATTTAACTGTTAAGGAACTGTAATGGGAGCTTCCGACAATATGGCATGTCCTGACACTTTTTTTGAGAATTCGTTATAATTGGTTTAGATGAGTCGAAACCCTCTTTTTAAACCTTTTCAATTCAATAGGTGTTGAAAAATACTGCTCCCTCCGTCCTAGATACCGTGTTCACGTTGCCTTTATGTCCGTCTCATATACCACGTCACTTTTTTTTTTTAAAAATAATTAAACACTTTAATCTTATTTTAAATTTTTAAATTTTATTTTTTAATTTTAATAAAATTAATTAGTTATCTTAATCTTAATTTATAATTATTTATATTATAAAATAATTATTTTCACTGGTATATTCTTAATTATCTACTAATTACACCCCTCTTAAAATACCGTATCTACACTGTAGCAGATACACGGTATCTGAGACAGAAGAAGTATTTTTCAAATACTCTCAAAATAGGTTTTTTATAGGATGAATATTGTTCTACATTCAAAAATTATAATTTCTTTTAGTATATTAAATCTCAGAAGACAACTCCTGTTTTCAATTTATTATTTTACGATTACGAATTCATTTCCATACAATTAATTAAATATAAAATTCTTTTTCACTTATAAAAAAGATTATTTAAGTTAATATAAATTGATTTTAAATTGAGTTTCAATTTCTTTCCAAAAAAAAAGCTTTTTTTTTTGTTTATTTTTTAATAAATTAATTATACTATTTTTTATTTTATTTTTATTATAAAAATAATAAATATATATTAGAAGTGTGTCCAAAAAGTGTTTGGGCGCCCGAAGGAGCATCTAATAACTACTTTCTTCGTCCCATTAAATTAGTACACTTATTTTTAGTCGTCCCATAAAATTAGTCTACTTAATAATTAATAATTAATATTTTTAATTAAAAAAATAGTCCACTTAATAATTAATATTTCTAATTAAAAAAATTTAACTATATTTTATTAATTTACTAATATTTTTAGTTTTATTATTTGTTAATTGTAAATTTAGAAGTTGGGCTAAAATTTTGAATAATAAAAATAATAAATATTTAATATTATATAAATAAATATTCATTTAATTTTAAAATTAATTTTTAATGTAATATATAATAAAATTTTATGTTTAATTTGAAGTTTATGGCTGAAAATTTTATAATAAAATTTTATGGCTGAAATTTGATATTGATTTTTTTTTTCTTTGTTAAAAAAAAAATAGAACTTATTTTTAAAGCAAAATTATAATTATTGTTAATTTCGGTATTTGACGTAAAATATTATATTCTAATACCGTGTATATAATTCAGTTAGAGATGGTTTGAGATAGTATACCGAAAATATCGAAATATATTGTATACCGTACTAAATTTTTTAATTTATTAAAAAAAATATTGATATTGTAATCAGTATATACAAAAATACTAATTTTTTTTTTAATTATCTATATACACTGAAAATATCTTATTATATATCGTTATCATACAAAAAAGTCATATTGTATCGAAATTTTAAATTTTTTCGGTTATTTTTTTACGAGTATGCATGTTATTTCCGTAATTCAGTATTACCAAAAATTTTGTACCATACGTATGTGATGTGGTATTAAATTTAGTAGTGTCATAACGAATTATTTTTAACAACTAAATTTGAAAAATTTTATGTATTGTTTATATAATTTTTTATTACATTTTTTACTGTATAAATTTAAGTTATTAAAATTATTATTTTTTTTATATCTAAATGCATGTATTGATTTACAATAAATAAAATTGTTATTATTATTTTTAAATAATATCAGTAAATAAAAAATTCAATATTAAAAAATTAAAATAAAAAATATTTTAACTTTTAAGTTAACATTTTATCAATAAAAAATATTTAATATAATATTTTATTACATTCATTAATCAAACTAATTAACTAGACTAATTTCATGAGATGGAGGAAATATTTTTTTTCTTTTTTATCAAATTATATTTTTTTAAATAATTAAAATATTAAAATATCTCCAATAATAATAAGTAAATCAGTATATATTTCTATACCTTCTGTCTTTTATATATATATATAATCATGTTCATATTAACAAGAAGATGCAGTTTTTTTTTTTTTTTTTTTTTTTTTTATTTTTGTTTCGATTATAATTATATTAATTTATTTTATTCTTCTTTAAATTTATGTATAATTTATTTGATAGTATTAAAATGAATGAAAGTATAATAGTATTAGAAAAAATCTAAGAAAGAGAATGCCGTGGAACCTATGACGCTTACCAGAAATGCATAAATAACAATAATTATAATAAGAGCGGGAAGGGGTACGTGTCCTGAACCCTGAGGCGCAGCAGCAGCACTGTCCCCACGTGACTGATAAGATAAAGATGCTGCTGCTTCTATTTGAGTCAAATCTATAATATATATCCATCTGTCCCTATTAATATACACCCCACACACACCCCCCCCCCCCCCCCCCCCCCCCCTCTCCCTCTCTCTCTATATATATATTGGATCTTTTGTTATTTGTTAGCCCCACTTGTTCATTCTCTGTTACCTTCTTCATTCTAATCCACGTATACCTCCTTTGCCTTTATACGTCTAACACTATACCTACTATTCCTATTCCAATCCTATGTATAGAGATTTACTTCTTTTGAATTATTCAATTATAAAAAAAAAATTTCAAAAATTTCATTATATTTTACAAATATTTTTTATTTTACTATTATATTATTACTTTTATATTAAAAAATAAGAACAAAATAATATTTATACTTATTTTTAAATACTTATTACAATTAAGATATTTTTTCCGTCCCATAACAAAGTATCCATTTTTCCATTTTAGTCCGTCCCATAATAAAGTATTCATTTCAATTTTTAGTAACTGTACTATCTACCTAACATTACAAATACCCTTACAATTTACAATATATTACACAAATGTCATTACTTTTGTATCACACATACTAATAATGTTATTTTAGTCATTTTTACTTTATTCCTACTATATCCCAATATAATACTAATATTTCTAAAATTACGTGCAAAAAGCAAATGAATATTTCTTTTTGGAACGGGAGGAGTACTATTGTTTTTAAAATTATGCGTTAAAAGTAACATTCAAATTGGAGAGTATTTGTTTTCTAATTCAAATCAAAATTTAAATTTATTTATATAATTTTTGATAAAATATAGAATATATACTTTTATTTATTTCGGAGATAAATATTAATTTATTTACATGTAGTTTTTTATATTGGTATTATATTTATATGTTGTACAAATAAAAAAAATTTACAAAAACTTCCATTAATAGTGCATAATATAAAAATCATAATCTTTATAAAATATCTGGTAAATTATAAGAATATTTTTATTGTCAAATAAATAATATAATTATTAAAAGAATAAATATTTTATTTTGATATTGACAAAAAAAATAAAAATACTATGCTATATTTATTATTATTTCTATATAAAAATCATCATTACGAGTGTATTATATTAAAATAGTGGGATTTATATAATACTCTCTCTATTTTATTTAATTTGTCTACTTTTTTTTATTTTTGTCTGTCCTGTATAATTTGTCTCTTCCTATTTTGAAAATATAATTATACACTTTAATCATATTTTACAATTTATAATTTATAATTTTTTTTATTTTAAATAAACTATTTAATCACCTTAATCTTAATTTATAATAATAATTATTAAATCATAATTATTTTTATTAATACATTTTTTTTTAATTATTTACTAATTATCTAATACCTAAAACTCTGTACATAAGTTAAAAGTGGACAATTTTGTTAGTTTAATTAATTAATTAATCATACTTAAATTTTGATTATTTTTTTAATTATCTTATGTAATTAAATTAACCTTAAATTGTGACCCACTTTTCTCCCATTAAGTCTATCACATTCAAAATATACGTGAGAAGTGGCAGAAAAATCGTGATGGACGGTTTCTTTTTTTTCATTATAAATACTCTCACATATGGGTTACTAAACCTACTCTCAGAAATTAGAATACACATCGCTATTTGAGAGCCAGGGTTTGGCAACGTCGTCCTAGGGTTCTAGGATCTGACAATATATTCTCAGGTTTCCAAAGTTTGGCAACATCTTCCTAAGGATATCAGAGTTTTCCAACACCATCTTTTCTGACGGTTCCAATCTATCGTTTGCTTGAAAAGAAGATCTTAAGAACAAATTTAATTTTTAGCAATGACCGGAGGTTTGATTAAATTTCGCTATTCGCTTCCGCTAACATATTTGATTAGATGTTTATTTTCGAACATTTGGTATCAGAGCGATTTTTGCCTCTGCTTTGCTTTGAATTTTCTTCTCATCAAATTATTGATCAAGATTCGCTTTAATTTCTTATTTGGAAATATTTTGCTTTTTTATTTTGACGATATTTTCTTAATCTTGCGATTTGAGAAAGTTTTCATTCTTTTTTTTTTGAGAAAAATTTTGAATTTTATTTTGAAATTAATTTATGCAAAATATTAAGTTTCCGAATTTTTTCTATGTTTCGATGGAGTGTTCAAATTCTTCTATAATGTCTTACGTGCATTTCATATCTGTGTCAACTTGTCACTACAAAAAATAGTATATTTGTAACAAAATTCAGTTTCTAAAGTTCACGAAGCTAACGTAATTTTATCCCTAATTCCGTCTCTAATATCATTAGTAACGGAAAAAGTGAATTTAATAACGAAAAAATCTTGTTACAAAATTGATATTTTTTTGTAGTGTGTATGCGTAATTAGTTACCTTGAGGAAGCAGTTTGTGTTAAATTATTGAGATGATTGGTCCGATTAATTTACATTGAAATAGAATCGAGTAGATTCAAGAATGACATAGATAATTATTTAGTTTTGGATCAATCAATTAATTTGTATGTTCTACCAATTCTTGGTATCGTGAATTGATAGCTTATAAAATTAGTCTTGATTGA